CTGAAAAGTCCTTGACTAGTGTAAGCACTGCTTAGCAACAACTAAAACATCGGTGTGTTATCAACATTGTTCTCATGCTAAATCCAAACCACAGCACTGTACCAGCTACTAGGAAGGAAATTAACTCTATCCCAGCCGAAACCAGGACAAAGACTAACATGTATTTTTTAGCTATAATTATTGCTTCTAGTGCCAGTAAATTCTTGGTAGCTGGAAAAGAAGATTTGAGACTTTAAAAATGAAGTCCATTTATTGAAATTCTTTATCTTGATAACCAGGTTTCCATAATTATTGTGAAATCTTTTTTTCTTTTAAAAAATTAGCAACTATTTAATTTTTGTTAAATATGGTAAACTACCAAAGCTAATATTCAGAATGATTCTGTAAAATATTTGACCTTTTAAGCTTGAATGGTTCTGTTGAGCTATTGCCACCAGCTTCAGTAAGTACTACAAATGCTACGGAAAATGGCTTTAGAAAGAAATAAATTCTGTAAATCACTTTCTAGACTTGTTGTGATGGAATGTGTAAAACTCACTTGAACTGTCTCATGGAGATTATGCTGTCTGTCAGTGAATGTAGAAAAGCGTAGTCCTGTAAATTTTTTTTTTTGTGTGCATGTGTGTTGCTTCTTGGTGTAGAGCAATCTTCATTTTCTCAACACGGTGATGTGAAAAGTGGTGCAATAGAACCTATTTCAGGCAGTAATTTTACAGACAGCTGCTTTTTATTAATTTCAAAAAATTATAGAAACATTCACAACTTTGATATGGCAAATTTTTTTTTGCTGTTCACACTTAAGCTTTGAAGGAACATCTCAGTGAAGTTTGTCTGCTTATTCATTTATGTTTACACTGCAGCCCTGCAAAACAATGGTTATACTTAGTTGTGCATCTTCCACAACTGTGAAGGATTAGATGAGTACAGTATCCCTACCATTATGGCTTGAATGTTAATTCTTGTTTATTTTGAAATAATCTAAAACTTTATTACATTTTAACTAATTTTTTTTGGGAAAAAAAAAATCCTTGTATTGTTTTTCACATTTTAAAAAAGTTGAAACAGAAAGTAAACTATTTCTGATTTCATTACTGTGTTCACCATAAAAGGCATATTTGAAAGCTAAGTATGCACTAGATAAAGCTCTCTATCACATCACTTCTATCTAATATGTTTTGACAGTAATGAATCCTGCAGATCAAACAGAATATAATAATCTCAAAAGTGCTTTGGAAAGGCTGACATTGAATGACTCCAGTGTAACTGTTCATCGTGACAGTAGCCTTGCCTTAGGAGCTGGATGGAGGTGAGGCTTTTATACTGCTTTCATTTTTGGAACTGTTTGTAGGTTGAGAATGCAGTTTTAAGTCAACTGAAGGTTGAATTAAAATTAATTCAAGATTTAGGAGCTTTAATTCAAATGAATGATAGGTAAAGATCAAAAGCATTTGATTTTTTTACATTCTGTATTTGCGCAGAGTATGCAGTTTGTTGTGATTGATAGTTTTTGTTCTCAAAGACTTGTGCTATTCAACTGTAGGATCATTTGGTCTTTCAGAGATTGTTTGCTGTGCCTGATATTGTGTGAACGTGCTGGAGGGGAAAAAAAGCCCACTGTGAAATTCCAGGGGATATACAAATACTTTTACCAACAGGTATTTTTTTTTCCAGGTTGGGTTTCCTTGGTCTTTTACATATGGAAGTTTTTAATCAGCGTTTGGAGCAAGAGTATAACATGTCTGTTATTTTAACTGCACCTACGGTTCCTTATAAAGCTATTCTTTCCTCTGCAAAGTTGATAAAGGTATGTTAAATTTATTACAGCTTTATGTAAATAGCAGCTTAAAAGCCTCCTATAATAAACATCTACACTTTTTTTTTTTAATGTAGACTAGTACTTTATTTTATGGTAAACATTAGAAACACCAGTATTTAATTTAAAACTTTTTTTTAATGGACTTTTTTTAAGAATGTTAGCTTTCCTTCCCCCTTCTGCTTCAAGCATTTTCTTTCTATGTCTTACACCTGTCCTTGAAAATGGGAATAAAGGACACATTTCTTGTTGTATTCTTTTAAGTGCATACTGACTGGACTGAGTTTAAAGCAGGTGAAATAATCTCCCAGGCTTTATCAGTCAGAAAACATTAATGTTTTTAGGAATAGCTTGTAATGCTACTGTAGACTGGCAGGGGCTGGTAAAGACAAGTGATTTTTTGATCGCAGTGAAACAGGCACGTGCAAACTTTGTTGAACTGGGTGCAAAGAAAATAACGGTGAGTTCAGAGAGAGAGTTGGAGTTACAAGCACCTGCTAACAGAGGAGGCTGCAAATAGGTTGGCTTCTTATTATCCAACATGTACCTCTAAACACTACAGAAAATCTGTAAATTCCAAACAGCTTGTATAAGAAAGGTTGCTGTACTTGAAAAGTGTAAGGCATAGATCCTTTTTCTCTCCAGTTATTTTGGTTTCTTGCTTAGGCAGTGTAGCAGCTATGAATGAAGTAGTTGACACCTTTGGTGCATAAGTGATTCTGGATTGCTGATGTGGGACACTGTTTTCAAACAGTGCTGGAGGTTGGGACATTGTTCAAGAACGCTGCCTTGTCAGTGGAAAGTGATATAAGCACTTGCCTTGGTGCGTGGGGGGATTGTATGTACACGGTAAGAAACATGACCTTCCTTTTATTCTTATTTCAGAAGGGTAACTCCAACTCCTATCGGGATGTTGGACTAGAAAAAAAATAGGTCATGAAGGCACCTGCACAGGAATCAAAAACTTAATTTCTAAGCTCATGTCAGCTGGTAAGGGAGCCTGAACCCAGTGTTTTACTTAAAGAAGAATGTCCCCATCACCAAACGCCAGAATACTTGGAGCAGGTCTTTTGTTGAAGTTGTGCCTTATACCTTATAGGATCAGGATGGAGTAAGAAGGAAGATCCTTGCTCTACAGGCAAGAGAGAGAAATGGAAAGATGGACAGAAAGGCTTTTATATTTCTGTGGATAACTCTGGGTTGTAGTCCTAGTTCTAAGCACTTCCTCTGTTTTAAAATTCACTGGATAAAATTCTTAAAAAACCCATTTTCCTAGTGAAAAGTAATTCCTATAATCTTTCTATATAATAATATTTAAAGATATGCTGATCAGGGACTTCTGTATGTGATGTAGATATCTCTTTCAAAATTGTGCTTGGTGTGAATTTGGGTTGCATAATTCACAAGTGTTTCCAAGCAATTGAAACATTTTCTTAGCTTTTTTTTTCAATGCTATATTTGTCTCCTTTGCTATTCAGTCTACTTATTTGTAAAATTACAGTATCTGCTTTGTTTGTTTGTTTTCAGGAATATGGTAAAGCAGAGATTACTATTATCAACCCTGCTCAGTTTCCTGATAAACTTTCAGTATCAGAATATTTGGAGCCAACTGTTTTTGGTACTATTGTAACACCTCATGAATATATTGGGAAAATAATTGCTTTGTGTCAGGTTGGTGTATAGTTTTAGCTTTGTCATTTGCATTTTTAAGCTCTTTATATCACACTTAAAGTGGAGATACTAGATAGTAAGATACTAGATACTATTGAAGAGTATCTTTGAAAGTAATTATTAAATATTTTTGAAAGAAAATATTTTAAACTTTTTATGTGTGAAATTAGTTCTGAACTACAAAATCCTTATACTGAAAGTTAATGATGAAGCTCAGTGACAATAAGTACCTGGTCAAGCATCCTTTACTAGACAAATTCATAGCCAGTTCTGTTTTCCTGAAAGAACAGAAACTGCAGTAGGGGAATAAGACCTATTGTTTTTCAGACCTATATTCATGGAAATACGACTTCTGTTAGCCCATAATGAGGCTTCATATGTTTTCAGTACTTCACTGGAGTACGTTTATGATAGTGATGGCCAAACACATTTCCCCAAGTGTATTTGAAATAGTTTTAACTAAAAATGTTTTAACTGCCATGCATATTGTCTTGAAATATTTTCTTCACAATATTTTCTTAGCTTTTAACATTTCAAAATACATAATACAAAAGAGTACAGTACTTGCATGTCAGTACAGTGAAGTATAAGATCAATTAAAAAGAATTCCTAAAATAACTTTTAAGGACATCCTTCTGGCAGAAAAGATGAGCCTGCAAGTCCTACTGTGTAATACTCCAATGTTTGTGAAAATCTAATTTCAGTGAGATTTTTATGGCAAAATAATCATACATTTAAAAGGCAGCAGTAAGCAGAAACTGTTAAGGATTTCAAAAATTCAGCTTTTAGAGTGGATGGACTTGAATCATTTGTCCAGTTAAGTTACAACCACTTCATTTACTACGGTGCTGCAATTTGTTCTGGGACTTTAGCAAACTACCAATAAGAATGTTACTTTGGGGCTTGCAATACGGGAGACTGGATAGCTGTTTATTTTAATTTGCTTTATATTTATTTGGAGAAAACTTCTGTCACAGAGAACTGAAACGATTTTTATTTGTCTAGGATCGTAGAGCGGTCCAGAAGGATATGTTGTACATTGATGAACACAGGGTTATGCTAAAATACCTCTTTCCACTGAATGAAATTGTGGTGGATTTCTATGATGCTCTTAAGTCTCTGTCTTCTGGTTATGCAAGGTAACTACCTCCTCTGTTCCCCCTCTCCTCACCCTTGACCCTGAGGGGTGAACAAAAAAAGATCCAAGAAGACATGGAAGGGCACAAGCGAAGAATATTCTTCTGTGATGGTGCTGCAAATCGAGTCTTACTTCACCTGTAATGAATTAGATTCACTGTGAAAATGGATGGAAATAAATCTGAAAAACACTAAAAGTGCGTCACTACCTAATAATAATTTTCTTTGGCAATGCATGTATTATTCAAGTGTGACCTATAGAGCAGTACTCGCTCATCTAGATGAGTAAGATCTAGATGGTTCTTACTTGTCTGAAGTGACAATGGGCATTTTCTATCAAAGGAATCACTGAAAATGTACTTCCTACTGTATTGTCTCTTGGTGGAAAAGGGAAAATAACCACATACTGATTCTTTCAAGCTAGTAAAAACAATCAACAAACTATATTTAAAACAAATAACACTACTTACACGCTTTATTATGGGCATAAAGTAAACAATCTGTATTTTGAGACAAAATGTTCTTCTGTGGGTGGATTCTATAAATTCGGAGGCTAGAACAATGCTCAGCTGTTTGCGAACAGCCTTTGTGAGTTTAATGGAAGGGAAAATGTTGCATGGCAGATGGGCTTATGCCACAGGAGACTGAATAGCTCTTACAAACATGGTACATAGACATGTCGTTAGTAAGATATATTACACTTTGACAGGAACTGGTATACCTAATTACATTATTCATTTTATAAGCATAAAAATGAATTTTATTGAAGGACTGAATTTGGTTTGAGTTTGTGTTTTCTTAAATATGCCTTATAAAGGTAAGGTAAGACGTGTTTTGCCTCTGTGTGTGTGTGTGTGTGTATTTGAAGTAGAAGCATAAGCAAAAGTGGGGAGGCAAGAAGGGACAGGTAGAAGAAACAGGGGGATGGAGATTTTGAGTTTTCTCTCAGGATCTAGCTCTCCAACTAGATAAAAAACAATCTGTTTATCAAGAAGCTATCTCATTAGCAGAATTATGCTGGGTTTCCTTTGATTCAGGTATGATTGCAAACAATGTTGCATTGTCTTATTTCTCAGTTTTTATTTCCTAATTGACTCCCTAATGTTGCTTGTGTATTTAATGCTCTCAATCATGCTTCCGTTATATGAATCTATTCACACAACTATGGTTTATCTAAGCCAATTAAGAAAGAAGTACTTTGAAATAATGTGAAAGGATTTTTTTCCCCTCTGATATTTCAAATCTGACCAGATTAGCGGTATTGGCATTCTCTGCATTTATGCTTACATACAAGAGATAGCTAGCTAGCTCTCTCTTACATGTGTATCTGCATCTCCTCCATTTTAAGAATTTTTGCAAACTGACGCACGGACAGAAAGGCCCATACCTACCAAAACAGAAATATGGTTTGGAAATGAAGAGGAAAAAGATTATTTGTTGTCAGAATAATAATAGGGGTCATATAACAAGTCTGTCAAATGAGAGGATGAAAAGAAAACAACCCAGTGTTAGTGTTTGATTTGTGTGACGTCAAGGATGTTTACTGTTCAAAAGCTGTGTTGAAGGGTTCTGTTGCCTGGAGCTTTAAGGAACTTCCAGCTGATAGAAAAGAAGTGTTTGAATAAACTCTTTAAGAGATTGCAGTAAGAATGTAGATTTTTGATTGATTTACCTTGCTCGGTAGCTGGAAGACAATATGATGTCTTCTGCTGCCTTGGAGATGAGATTTATCTGCAGTAAACTTCTAGTCTAGCCTTGCATAAGGGAGACGTACTGAGAGACTATTAAAAACTGCTCATTTTAATAAAAAGTTTGAGTGTTTTATTAATAAATGTGTCTAAAACTTAAAATTTATGCAACAAAGAATGCAGAATATAATTTTTACAAAATCCTCGCTAACTTTTAAACTGCTTCCGTTTAGTTTTGATTATGAAGATGCAGGATACCAGGCAGCAGACCTTATCAAAATGGATATTCTTCTAAATGGAAGTCCAGTTGAAGAACTGGCAACGATCATACACAAGTAGGTTGACTGGATTTTCTATTCCAACGTAATAAGACTTCCTATTAATATATAATGAAAACATATTTGTCATATATTAGTAATACATACATATGTATGAAAACAGCATTGAGGGTTTTACCACATCACCACTTTTGGAGATGAAGAAGAGGCATTTAAGTGCTAGATATAGTATTTTTGTGGTAATGTAGGGCAGGGAGGAGAAGGAAATGCAAAATGCCAATCTTTCAAGGGGCTGGAAAAATTTAAATACAGACCAGTCTAGGAGATGCCAGATGGATCATTTATGGCACTTATTTACTATTGAAAAACTGAAAAAAAAAATTGATTTTATGCTTCCAGTAACTCGTATTCTATAGAAGTTTGTTGTTATTTTGCCTCCAGCCAGAGTACCAGGAGAATGTAAATATTTACTGGATTTAATTACCTCAGAAATTTTTTGCTAAAAGGATTCAGTTTCTACAAGTCTCTCAGGAATTACTGGTTTGCTGGTGAGAATAATGCCTTCCTGTTTCCAGCCTCTCCCCTTGCTTTCTTCTCAGAAAGTCTTTATAAGGCTCCCTTCTGAAACTTCAGCATCCTTTTCCAGTAATTCTGAGATCAACTTTTTCAGTTGGTTGTTGTTTTTTTGGGTGTGTGTTTTGTTTTGTTTATTTGGTCGGTCTTAACATACTAACTTGTAGTTGCTAAAAATTTATATATTTTCATATTTTTACATAACTGCAATCCTAAAATCCTTGGAATTCCTGAACTTCAGAAGGTCAACGTAGGAAAATGAAACACTTACTTTGTTCGGAAAGATCATGGGACTGGAGCGAAATAACTCTCTCGTATACATTTGCTACTTAATGTGTTTTTCATAAATAAGCAGTGTTTAGCAATCTACCTGCATCTCTTTACTTTGAAAAGATGCAAAATGGAGTGGCCAACCTTGCAAAAGTTAGTTATTGCTTTAACATGTGTTTCTTGATCAATTTAGCTTGTACCCCTGAGCTGTTTCACTCACTAAAACTAATGATAGCCTTTCTTTAGCTTTAGATTACAAATAATTGTTTTTAACTTGTAGACAGAATTCATTCTGCTCCTGCGTCAGCTATTCTCAGAGTCATCTCAGTGTAGATAGACTGTCTATATAAAAAGAATTATGCTGAATTACATTTATAGAGAAAGAATTACTGAGATTACTGTAAGCTCAATATTAAGCTAGCCATTATTATTTGTGCTAGTTATTCAAATATCTGTATCTTCTAAAACTGTAATGCTTAATGAACATTCCTTAAGTACTTCATGCTTAAACTGTTTGCTTTATACAGGTAGCAGGGAGGCACATTGTTGCTACATGAAAACACATAAAACTACTTTCAGCTGTATGTTGCAAAAAAATTTTTGCTAAATATGGATGTTTTTAGAGAGAAGAGACACATTTGTTTTCAATGGCTTATGAAAGTATATGTTTAGTAGCTTTTTCAGACCTTTTGTCATTTTCTCTTTCCAAAATATAAACTAGATGCTGAGTATAGCTGGATAACTTTTATTAGCAGATGACAAGAGTACATTAAAATGTTTTTAGGTTTTTTTCTTGTTATATAAAAACAGATGTTTTTAAAATATTTCTCTATTATGTAGATCTTTTGACCTTTCTGGCCTACAATCAATGAAAATCCTCCGTTACCTTCTAGTTTAAAATTGCATTGGAAGCTGTGACAGCATTCAAAATGGCTTCAGTGTGATAATCAGGGTGTTTATAATAAATTTAAAATATTTATTTGAAGACCTTCTGTTAATACAATCTTATCACCTATTTCTATGAAACAGGTGACATACAGAGACTGCTCATTAGATGTAAAATTACGATCTGATTGGCTTATCTTTTGAGTTAAAAAGAGGAAAACCTTTACTAAAA